CAAGGAAGATGATGACCAGAACTGAGGGAAGCAAATGTTTTTTATAGAGTGTAAAGCAGGGGTCTTCAAACTTGACAGCTTTAAGACTTGTAGACTTCAACTCCCAGAATTCTTCCTCCAGTCAGGTTAGCTCAGGAATTCTGGGTTGAAGTCCACAAGTCTTAAAGCTGTCAAGTTTGAAGATCCTTGGTGTAAAGCAACAATGATTTACTGTATATCTATGGACATTCTCAGTCATCCAGGTCATGATTGTCTCCAAAGGTGCTTTTTCAAAAAGGCAACTGGACTTTCTTGTTTTTTCCTTGAAGACATTTCGCTTCTCATCCAAGAAGCTTCTTCAGTTGAGCTCAATACAGACTGACAGTTTCTTCAGAACTGAAGAAGCTTCTTGGATGAGAAGTGAAACCTCTTCAGGAAAAATAAAGAAAGTCTAGTTAACTTTTGAAAAAGCACCTTTGAGACGCCAGGATCCATGTGAGGGGCTGACATAGATATCTGGCTACAGGGGTGTTTGCAGGCTATGTTTAAAAAAAAAGCTAAGATGGCAGCTACAATCATGCAATCAGAACTGAACACAACGCTCAGAAAGTAAAGGTAGTCCTTGACTTACAATCATTCATTTAGCAACCATTTACAGTTACTTCAGCTCTGAAAAAAAAGTGGCATTACCAGTCTATATACTTATGGCCATTACATCTCCACAGTCATGTGATCAAAATTTGGGCTCTTAGCAATAGGCATGTATTTATGAAGGTTGCAGCACCCTGAGGTCACATCATCTACATGAGCCATGGTGGCACAGTGGTTAAAACACAGGGTTGCAAGCTGCTGACTGCCGGCTGCCAGCAGTTTCGGCAGTTCGATTCTGACCAGCTCAAGGCCTTCCGTCCTTCTGAGGTCAGTAAAATTAAGCCCCAGATTGTTGGGGGCAATAGGCTGACTCTGTAAACCACTTAGAGATGGTTTTGTAAAGCATTGTGAAGTGGAATATAAGTCTGTGCTATTGCTATCTCTGCAATGGTGGCACAGTGGTGAGAATGCAGCATTGCAGGCTAATTCTGCCAACTGCCAGCAGTTCGATCTTGATTGGCTCGAGGTTGACTCAGCCTTCCACCCTTCCAAGGTTGGTAAAATGAGGACCCAGATTGTTGTGGGCAACTGGCTGTAAACTGCTTAGAGTGGGCTCTAAAGCACTGAAATGTAGCAATGGAAATTCTAGTTCCAATTGTATGTCACGGGCTACCTGTATTTTGCAATGAGTTTTGGCTCACCTTAGAGGATTGTGGTAAGCATAAAATGAGGTTTGGGGAAAGAAATCTCTACTACTCTGAAAACCATGGAAAAATGCAAGACGGAGATCTAATACTAAATAAATTTGGACTCTTTTTGGCTTTCATTTATTTTGACCGTAATGTGAGAACTCAGTGGAACCCGCTTTTGGCTATAAATTAACATAATCCTTTGGTTACTTCTCTTTTTTGGACAATTCATCAGATTTATGATTTCTTCAGGTAGAAATCCTAAGTCCAGGGCTATAGGTTTTGATGGAAGTTATTTCTGCGGATGCTCAGCTTGAGTAGAAATTTTATAAGACTGTTCAGAAGTACTGACTGTGCAAAAAAAAAAATAACTAAACGAAAAATAATAAAAATGAAAAAACCCAGTTAGATCGCTGTTGTCAGCTAGGTATTATGGAAACAAGAAAAATACGCAGTAGAATTCACTACGAAGGTAAGAACTCAGCTAAAAGGCCACTGCTATTATTTATCTGAGACCCTATTTTAAAAATATTAATAAAACAAATCAAAGTAAAACAAAATCGTAAAATACATTTCTGGGACCTTCTGAATTTTATATTTTAATTCAAAGTAGGGGGTTAATCTAATCGTATTCATTTCCAATAAATTTCTCCACTGAAAGAATCACAATCCCACTGAGAAACACTCAGCTGAGATAATTGGTTGTTTAAAAAATGAGAATTTAATTTACAAGTACATTTCTAGAATTCCGCGTCCACATTGCTTCTTCATTCTTGAGTTATCTCTACAGTCAAATGTTAATTTCCCAGACAGGCACCTCATTTCCTCAAAAACAGGGTTTTTTTCTGTGTGTTGAGGATCCACTTAGGTATTTTTTTAAAAAAATTGCTTACTCTTGTCACAAATCTGGAAGAGTTCACATATGATTTAACTAGTTATCAGGGGTCCCCAACCCTGATGTTATGGCCTGTTGGTTGTCGGCCCCTCCGGCAGAATCAGAGGAGGAAGAGGTGGTGTGGGGTCAGCCTCAGGGCAACCTGAGAGCTCTGAGGGGGAAGAGGGAATGGAGCTGGCAGAGAGAGAGAAAGACAGAGGCAGAGCCTGGGCCATCCATCAGCCCTCAGATGGGGAGTCAACATTTCCCAGGTCTGGAGGTGGCTGATGAGGAAGAGGAGGAACAGCTGGGTCCAGTGCCTGACACACGAAGGCAGAAGAGAGGAGAGCAGTGGAAATCTATGGGCTGGTTCTTGGGACGGAATAGCCAGCACTGCTAGCGAAGCCCCACCCTAGCTCTGGGGATAAAAGACAGGGAGCGGAGATGAATAGATGTGGCAGACAACTACTCATCTCCCTGCTGGACAAAGTTGTTAGCCTGCGGTGAGAGAGAGACTTTTTGCCGGGGCTGCTGGTGCTCCTAATAAAGGAATGTTGTTTGCCCACAGAGGGTTTGTCATATTTGTGAGCTGGGTCAGTAGACCTGAGGCTATGGACTGGTACAAGTCCGTGGCCTGTTAGGAATTGGGCCATGCAAGGAAAGCTTCATCTGTGCATGCACAGGGATTGAGATTCCATGCAAAACCATCTTCCCCACCAGTCTGTGGAAAAATTGGCTACCACCAAACCGGTCCTTGGTGTCGGAAAGATTGGGGATCGCTGGTCTATATAATTTGAGGATAAAATGGTTGCGTTTCATAGCTATATGGTTAGAAAAAGTAAAAGTAAAACAGAAAAAGTATGCTATGAACACCCTTGACATCGAGTGGGTTTAACATCTTGATGAAAAAATGTTGAAATTATAATAGCAAATTATACATGGTTATTTGAATATTTTATTTATTGAGCAAATTTATATAACTCACATGGAGGTGATTCTAGGTGATTTAACAACATTTTTTTTTTAAAAAATCCACCCTATAATAAAACACATTTTAAAAAAACCTTTCACCTCCTCCCATAGCAATAAAACACAAATAAACCAGCCAGTTGAACTCCATTCATAGTCCCCAGGCCTGCTGATAAAACCAAATTTTTAGGGTCTTCCAAAAAGCAACAAGATAAGGGCCAACTATGTCTCCAGTTGAATAAGTTCCATAAAGGAGAGGCCACCACTGAGAAGGCCCTTATACAATATACAGTACTATTTGGATATCCCAAAGAAAGAACAGAGCGTAAAATGGAATAAAAACTCAAATCTCCAGTAAACAAAATATCAACATTCTCTACTTATAGATTGACAATTATAATTCATTCAGTTAAAGGTACGTGTTTAATTTGGGCACCAATCCATCTTTTTAGAAATAAATTGGTATCTCCAACTGAAACACGGTGCTCATTATATAGTGGCAGTTCACCAAACATGACCAGTCCTACAATGTTTCTATTTTGCATGCATGTTAATTCACAATATTAATTGTTCATTGGAAAACTCATTTGTATGTTGTTTTAAACTAAAGACCAATGATTTGAAGACAGAAAGGAGGAGAAATGAAATGAATACCGCTTGTTCTCCAAGACCGGAAACCAGTAACACAAAAGATGGAAACAAATGAAGAACATTTCCAGGAATTGAGTGTGTCTAGTTTAATGAAAAGGAGGAGTAGGGGGTGACATGATAGCAGTGTTCCAATATCTTAGTGGCTGCCCCAAAGAAGAGGGAGTCAAGCTATTCTCCAAAGCAGCTGAAGGCAGGACAAGAAGCAATGGGTGGAAACTGATGAAGCGACCTATAAAACTAAGGAGAAATTTCCTGACAGAACAATTGATCAGTGCAATGGGTTGCTTTCAGAAGTAGGCGGCTTTTAAGAAGAGACTGGTAAGCCACTTGTCTGAAATGATATAGGCTCTCCTGCTTGAACAGGGAGTTAGACTAGAAGACCTCAAAGTCCCCACTCTATTATTCGGTTAATTCATCTATCTTTCATCCATGCCTTTTTGTTTTGACCCGTAAAAATGCATTTTATTGTTTGAAAGCTGTAGTGTATAGGCCAGGTGTCAGCAACCTGAAGCTCTGGAGCTGCATGTGGCTCTTTGGGCCCTCTGCTGTGGCTCCCTGTTGGGTGATCCCACCACTGGCTGTCCCCACCCCTTCCCCTCCCCTTCCCCTTCCAGTCATTCCTCGCCTGGCCTGAGAAGGGAAAACACAAAAAACAGAAATGAGAGGGAGAGAGGGAAGGAGAGGGGGGGAGAGGGAGGGGGAGGGAGGGGGAGGGGGGAGACCCATTTCCCACAGAAAAGAAAACATCAGGAGCTACAAAACCTGGGTAGGCGTGGTGATGGGGAAGATGTGACTGGGTGGGAAAGACGTTGAGTTGGTCACGCCCACCTAGGTTTTGTGGTTCCCGGTGTTTTCTTTTCTGTGGGAAACAGGTCCAAATCGCTCTTTGAGTGTTTAAGGTTGCCAACCCCTGGTATAGGCAATTTGCATTTCCATTTTTGTCTAACCAGCTTAAATGTTTTGTAATTCTTTGGATAAGACTATATATGAAGTACCATTGTTGTTCAATACTTTAAATACAAACACTTTTGTCAGCCTGTTAAAATAATTAATATGATGCAGTGCATATAAAAAAATTAATACCTAAGGAGTGTTTAAAAGATAACTGTCCAAAGGAAGGTAAAAGTAGACACATTACAGCATTAAGTGAATTGATAAGATACAAATACAAAAGCGCAATAACACATTTAAATAAACTTGAGTTGCAATTCTCATGCCTTTTAATTAAAGCCATCATAAAAACTTACCTATTGAAAATTGGAGCACAGAAGCTGTTGTTGTGTTAAGGCCATTGGTAATCTATAAAAAAAAGTGGGGGGAGAATTGTTGAATTGATCCACCATATTAATTTGTTGCTATACCTCTATTGAACATAAAACTGAAATCTTTATCCTTCAGTCCAGTATCCTGTTGTTAAACCTTCAAAGCAATTCAAGGCAGTCATATCCTAGAATCTCTCGGGGTATACAGTATTTAGCAGATTAGGAGAGCATAGCTTTAGTCTGGCAAGATTCTGTCTACCAACTGTAAGCAAAGAGTTGAACTCGTTTGGCTTTTCCTGGGTCATCTTTGGGCTTGGGGCTGGCATTGTGTCTTTCCTCAACTTTTTGACAATTACAGTTTTATCACACCAGTTTTAAAAATATAGAAATAACTTTAATTGCTAATGAAGACAGTAAGTGTAATATGTGTATACGTTCTCTCTAACCAAGTTATTGCTGAACTAACTGTGATCTTCATTTGCTGTATCAACTCATATGTTGCTTTGTGATCCTATAGACAGAATTCCTCAGCCAGCATGGGAATTCTGGGAATAGAAGTCCACAAGTCTTAAAGTTGGCCACGGTTGGTGGCCCTGATATCTATACAACTATAAAAGAATAGGAACTCCAGTTCCAGACATTTATAACTTATTCCTTATTGACTTCTTTAGCGCTCCAAAGCCCTGCCTGGAACTTAGCCTGAAAGTGAATTTATAGCCAGAAGCAAGTGATTAGAAATTCTCCAACTGTCCCTGAGCAGCTTGGAGAAAATCAATCTCTAGGGCCCTTAGACACTTATTCCTCCCTTATATTCATGAAGTTCTTCTCCCCTTCACTAAAGTATGGTGTCTTCTGTCTTTTGGTGTTGGAGCGAGAGGACGAGGATGAGATATATTTTGGAGGTCTTCCAAGGATGGAAAGCAGGAAGTGCCCAGTCTTCCTGCTTACTCATCCACCTCTCCTAAACTACAAATCTTGTTTAATTCTCACTCCCACCAAAGTTTGCATACCTGACACAAATCAGGTGCCCACCAGAAGAACCTCACCCTCACATGGCTAAAAGAAAGGAATGAAGGAATGAATCCAGGGATGGGATACAGCTGGTACGGACCGATTTGGATGAACTGGTAGTTCCAGCAATCAGTTGGCCCCGCCCACCTGCCCCTGCGCCGTTCTGTCCTATATTTCTTTTGTTTGAAGCCCAGCTGATAGGCTCTGCCGTGCCTCAGCTAATTTACTCACCAGGGCTGCAGTAGAAGGTAAGTTTTTGAGATGTTTTCAAATGCACCGTGCATGCAAGAAGCGCACGCTCAGTGAACCGGTTGTTACACTGGTTGAATCCCACCACTGAATGAATCCATGCAAGTAAACATTACTTTTAGAAGGTGGTCATTGTCTCCATGTTTCTCTTTTCGGAACTCCCGATAAGCAAGAAGCTCTCTGCAGTAATGAATCAGCCTCAGATGGTCTTGGCATATGCCAGACCTCACGTAGGCAATGTCTTCGATACATGCCAGGCCTCACGTAGGCTGAAAGCAGGTATCAGGAACGAAGAAAATCACCCAGGTAAAACAGGTATCAGGAACAAAAGAACGACACCAGAAGTCCACTAACTGGACTGCAGGCGCTGATTGGTTACTTTGTATCCATTAAACACTGTGATTGGGTGCTACAGTGTATCCACTAAAACTTTTACTCTTATGTTATGTTGATGAAATGAAACTTTCTCCTTTGTGAGGTATCCCCAAGTGTATTCAATAAAAGAGTTTCCCCGAGCGTGTGGTGGGGGCAGCTCACCCGCCTGGTGTCTTTCTTGATGCATTCGATGACTCAGTGAGAAGCCCTCCAAATGCAGAGAAAAGCTGCACTCTCAACTGCGGATGGGGAAAATAGTTGGAAGTCCAACTCATCCCTGCTTCAATGAGATTTCCTACTCCAAACAATTCAATTCCATGTGAACACTATCTCCATCTTTCTCTTATCCCAACTCCCAACAGTGTTCTCTTTGATCATAGCTGGGGGAGAATTAGAAATCATGATCTCAGACAGCAGGACATCTCATTGAAGGTCTGGAGTTAGAGTTCAGCTACTTCCGCATCGGCAATTGAGAGATTATTGCTTTGTGCAGCACAACACAGTTATGTTAGATGTGTGTTTAAAAATGCACATCCCTATGCATTTAATAAACCCATGGAAGAAAGACCCTTCAGAAATGAGAGGATGCCCAAATGACCATGGAGAGTGATGACCAGCGACCAGAGAAGAAGGGCTTGCCCATAATATCTTATGGCCAACAGAATCCCGGCTGATCTGAATCCTGACTGCATCATGAACATACAATGAGACATTGCTGATGAAACATTCAACATCATGCCCAACCAGGAGACTGTGAATTCTAGCCTCTTCTTAGGCATAAAGTCAGCTGAGTGATCTGAGCCAGTCACTCTCAACCCTAGGAAGCAGGATATTACTAGGAGTCAATATTGACTCAAAGGATCCCCCACCCAAAAAAACCAGTTTAAGCTGCCTCATTGTAGAAGTGACAAAATCTGATGGTGGAGTCAAAAGAGGGATCAGCCTAGAATCCTTATATAGTCACAAATGAACTAAGTCCAACATCCCTTGAACTCCTTTGAGATTTATCAAATCCCAAGCAATTGCTGACTGTTACTTGAAAAGACTCCTGTGTATAGGTGTTTAGCAATAAACCGATTTAACTGGACTTTCAGGTGTGGCTCAGTGGCTTAAGAGGCTGAGCTTGTCGATCAGAAAGATCGGCAGTTTGGCGGTTCGAATCCCTATTGCTGCGTAACCGAGTGAGCTCCCGTTACTTGTCCCAGCTTCTGCCAACCTAGCAGTTTGAAAGCATGTAAAGAAATGCAAGTAGAAAAATAGGGACCCCTTTGGTGGGAAGGGAACAGCATTCCATGCACCATCGGCATTTAATCATGCCAGCCACATGACCACGGAGATGTCTTCGGACAGCGCTGGTTCTTTGGCTTTGTAACGGAGATGAGCACCACCCCCTAGAGCCGGAAACGACTAGCACGTATGTGTGAGGGGAACCTTTACCTTTACCTTAATAAATCTGAAGTGACATTAAGGCAGATTTAAGCTAACAGGTTTAATTAAAAAAAACTTGAAGGAGAGAAGAGTATATTTAGGAATTGCGATGCAGGAAAAAAAGGTGCCATGCAAGGTTAAAATGTCGTATAAAATGAAACTAACCGAAGCAGAGAGAACTTGCTGTGTTTGATACCTTTCTTTAACAGATCTGGTATGTGGTTCATTACATCATGTAACATAAATTCTGCTACTATTTGCTAACTTGTGGTCTCTCCAACATTACGGATAGACTATTTAACCATGGATCATTGAGAACACGAGCAAGGAAATGAGTCAGTATAATTTCACTCTTCAAAAATTTTGCCAGGAGGCAAAACCTGGCATTGCCACGGACCCTGTTTAAGAATTATTGTCTATCTCAACTAGGGTGCAACATTTTCTGAGCTCTTTTAATTTAGAAGAACCAGGACATTAAATATTGAATGCAAATCACTGCACGATGATCCTTCCCTCCCAGCCGAGTGCCATGAATTAAAAATAGTTGTCAAGCCAAGCCACTAAAACTGCCTGGCCTAATGTATTTTCAGTTTTGCAATAACCTTGGATGGGAAAATCCAGTATTTTTACGACTGTTCCTTAATCTTGTATATTCAGTAAAGTTCCCCTTCCCTGGTTTAACTCAAAGCCTGTTCCATATGCTGAGGGAACTCAGTGAAATGTTGGCTTGTTCAGGTAGTCCTTGAATCATGACCACAATTGAGCCCAAAATTTCTGTTGCTAAATGAGACAGTTATTAAGTGAGTTTTGCCCCATTTTACGATCTTTCTTGCCAGAGTTGCTGAGTGAATCACTCTTTGTTAAGTGAATCTGGTTTCCACAATGACTTATCAGGAGCAGAGGTGGTCTTCAGCAGGTTCTGACCAGTTCTGGAGAACCGGTAGCGGAAATTTTGAGTAGTTTGGAGAACCGGCAAATCCCACCTCTGACTGGCCCTGCCCCCATCTCTTCTCTGCCTCCCGAGACCCAGCTGATTGTCTGGGTCTTCTTTGGTTGCCCTGCAGAGGAGAACGGAGCTGGAAAGCAGGTTAGTGGGATGGGGAGGGAGTGGGATTTTGCAGTAACCTTCCTCTGCCATGCTCACTAAGTCATGCCCACCAAGCCACACCACGCCCACCAAGCCATGCCCACAGAACTCCTAGTAAAAATGTTTGAATCCCACCACTGATCAGGTGGTTGCAAAAGGTAACCACATGACCCCAGGGATGCTGCAATGATTATAAGTGTGAGAAAGAGTCATAGGTCACTTTTTTCGGTGCCTTTGCAGCTTCGAATGGCCACTAAATGAACTGCTGTAAGTCAAGGACTACCTGCACTTATGCAGTCTTCTAAAATCTGGGAGGAGCCTGTGATTATGAGGCTCAGTACCAGTTACACATTCATTAAACAGGATGATGTAATTGAGAAATTAAGCTATGTACAATCCACTGCAGTGTTTCTTGACTTTGTCAATTTTAAGATCCGTGGACTTCAACTCCCAGAATCCATAGCTGGCAGGGGAATTCTGGGAGTTGAAGTCCAAGCATCTTAAAGTTGCCATGGTTGAAAAACACCATATTACGGTTTCAGAAAATGTTAAATGAGCAAACTTTCTTTAAACCTCCCTTTCTGAGGGAGATGGGAGGCACAGAAATACCAAATAAAAAATAAAATATAAATCAATAAATCAAACTTAACAAATGGCACTGATTCACTTAACAACTCTGGCAAGAAAGGTGGTAAAACGGGGCAAAACTCACTCAACAGATTTCTCACTTAGCGACAGGAATGCTGGGCTCAATTGTGGTCGTAAGTCGAGGACTGCCCGTATTTTCCCTTGGAAGACTCTTCGGTGTTTAAAAGAAATTTACAACGAAGGTAGAAGGCGGTAGGATATAAAGGAAACACTTTCCTATCACAAAGTGGAAAAGGCAATTTTTACCATTTGCGGGGAGGAAAAAGCAAACGTGTTCAGAACCAAGGAAAGGAAGCAGATCTGTGAAACTGTTAGCGTAAAGAGGAATGTGAGATGGACGAGCTTTTTGCGCGTGGGATATTCAAAGAGAGAGACCTCATAACCAAGTCAGATCGGCCAAGACTTACTAGTTCTCTTGGCCCGTATGGCTCACAAAAAGTGACAGCGCTCCCGTGCATGATGACACCGCACTGGTCTCCAACCTCACAGTTGCTGCATTCAAACCTGCAAGAAAAAGAATCCAAGTGAGTTGGAAGAACCATGGAAGAAGGCTGTTCGGAGCCAGCCCCCCCAAACGCAACAAACCCCATGAAGTGAATTCAAAAGATTGCTTTGTTAGGAGAGCTGGCAGCCCCGGCAAAAACATTTCTAGGCTAACGAGTCTGCCTGTCTGGAAGGTGAATAGTTGTTTGCCACATCTGTTCACCTCTGCCCCCTGTCTTTTATCCCCAGGGCTAAAGTGGGGCTTTGCCAGCAGCGGTGGCTCTTCCGTCCCAAGGACCGGACCATAGATTTCCACTACTCTCCTCTCCTCTGCCTTCTGTGTGTCAGACACTGAACCCAGCTGTTCCTCTTCTTCCTCATCAGCCACCTCCAGACCTGGTTCTTCCAACCCAAGGATCGGCCCATAGATTTCCACTGCTCTCCTCTCCTCTGCCTTCTGCGCATCTACACATCAGGCACTGGACCCAGCTGTTCCTCCTCTTCCTCATCAGCCACTTCCAGACCTGGCTCTTCCATCCCAAGAACTGGCCCATACATTTCCACTACTCTCCTCTCCTCTGCCTTCTATGTGTCAGGCACTGGACCCAGCTGTTCCTTCTCTTCCTCATCAGCCACGTCCAGACCTGATTCTTCCATCCCAAGGACTGGCCCATAGATTTCCATTGCTCTCCCCTCCTCTGCCTTCTGTGTGTCAGGCACTGGACCCAGCTGTTCCTCCTCTTCCTCATCAGCCACCTCCAGACCTGGGCTCTGTTGACTCTCCATCTGAGGGCTGACGGATGGCCCAGACTCTGCCTCTATTTCTGACAGCTCCATTCCCTCTTCCCCCTCAAAGCTCTCAGGTTGTCCTGATGCTGACCTTGACTCCCACACCTCCGCCCCTTCCTCTGATTCAGCTGCTGGAGGGGCCGGCAGCTGACAGGCCACAACAAAGGTAGCATACAGAATAACAGAGTTGGAAGGGACCTTTGAGGTCTTCTAGTCCAACCCTCTGCTCAAGAAAACCTCCAGTGGTGGAACACCCACAACTTCTGGAGACAGGCTAGTTCAGAAGCTGTGGATCTTCCATTACTGAAGGACAGCTGAATATCTTGAACGTCATGTGGCTTCAAAGGGAATATTGTGCTTAAAAGTCTTAATGAATGAATGTGAATATATGTGTCCCAGGATAATGTTGCAGGATCCAATCTGGGTCGGTCACTGGGACCAAAAGGTTTGTCTTCCATGCTTTCAGACTCAAACTGGAGCCCATCTTAAGTTAAGGAACAAAAGTCTTTAGTTGTCTGAAATGAAATGGTGCAGGTTCTTCTCCTTGAGCAGGAGGTTTAAGATAATCTTTATTGTCATTTTTTTTTTGTGGGCACTCCGGCACACGTTAAAAATGAAATTCTGTTGTCTGCTCTCAATAGTTTGCACATACATAACACGCCTATAGATAAGCTATCTACATATATATGTACACCCTAACGTATAAATACATATAAGTATTAATCACTGTCCATCTTGAATACATAGTTAAGGATCAGATTATTGTCCGCATGGGCCTTAGCAATGTTGTGGTTGAAAATATTAAACCCCACAAAACTTTTCCCTGTTCTATCCAAGACATGGCAAAATATCCTGTTAAGAGTCAAGAGAAGTAAACAGCTTTTTCTCAACTATTATCTAGGTTCTTCTCTTAAAATATAACAGATTAGGTGGCATATACAAAACTCCAATTTCACCCCCAACACAAACCTTGGGAGGAAGGTTGAGAGAAGAAAGAATGATTGGCTTGAAGTCAACCCATGTACTTCCATGGTTGACAAGCAACCCAACGCTAGCAATCCATCCAACATCTTCACCATTATGTCACACAATTCTGTGTGTTTTGCGTAATTGCTAAAGCTTGCCTAATGCTAACATAAAAATACACTTGGCTTTGCAGCTACAGACACAGTGATATAGTTAGATTTCTGTCTTAAAGGGTCTTGTCATGTCGATTATCTTCCAGGAAATTTCCAAGCTTCTTCTAATTTTACGGTTGTCCATTTTCCATATCTTCCCATTGTAATTTAGACCAGGGGGCTCCAACCTTGGCAACTTTAAGATGTGTGGACTTCAACACCCATGGGAACTGAAGTCCACAAGTCTTAAAGTTGCCAAGGTTGGGGACCTCTGGTTTAGACCATAAATATATATTTGCACTTGGTTTGGATGAAATTAAAGGATTAACTTGATGACCATGATATAAACAGGAGACAGCTGATTTTAACTGTTTGGTTACTAAGCCTTCACTTAGTAATCAACTTAGTTAGCATTTTGCTAACTGTAAGAGGAGTCTGGGAGTGTAATGAAGAGAGTGTTAGACATAAACAACAGAGAGATAGAAAGGGAGTCTGTTAGTTGCTTATCTCACAAACAGCAACTCACTCCACTTAATTGCTTATCTCACAAACAGCAACTCAGTCCAGCTGGCAAAAAATAATTCATAACACAACCCTCCAAGAGATTCTGTCTTAATGAACTCACTAATCAATTAAGTTTGGATGTGCTGCTTGTGGTTTTCCAGATTCCAGATTTCCCCCTAACGCCTGCATTACAGAAACCTTTAATAGCGTTTGTGTAATCCCTTGCTTGCTTCCTTGATCCTTGCCATCTGTAGGAGGCTTGACATGAGCACGATTATCAATGGCTTTTGTGGCAGGCATTTGAGACCCCCAAAACAAGGCATATTTTGCTTTCTCAAAAGCATCTATTAAGGGCATCAGGTACTGGTCTTATGCAGAGATTAAACAAGCTGAAATGATTGCACAAACAGCTACTAGACATGGAAAGCCCTACTACAGAAAGCCTTGATCGGTTAATAGAGAGGCACGATGCCATCGCAACAGATGGCACCCAGAGAGATTGTCAAAGGACTCTCCAAGACTAGGAGGCTGTAAATATGCTGTTATTAAAAACAATGTCCATTAAGGAAACATTTGTTTCCCCAAACCCCAGTGCTATGGAAAAGACTGTCTTCTGTATTTAAATCAAGAAACTGTTCGGAGTTTCAGATGATCAAAGTGTATCAAGTTGTATATCCATTGAGCAGCAAAGCTCAGGAAGATTTGAAAATGAGCTAAATCCTCTGGTTAGTTATGGGTCACAATCCTACTACCATACCATTTTATCCTTCTTTCTTTCCTTCCTTCTTTCCTTCCTTCTTTCCTTCCTTCCTCCCTCCCTCCCTCCCTCTCTCCCTCCTTCCCTCCCTTCCTCCCTTCCTATCTTCCTTCCTTCCTTTTCTTTTTTCCACCCTCCCTCCTCCATCCATGATGGCTCAGTGGTTACAATGCAGCATTGCAGGCTGACTCTGTCCACAGTCATGAGTTCGATCGTGACCGGCCCAAGGTTGATTCAGCCTTCTGTCCTTCTGAGGACATTAAAATGAGGGCCCAGATTGTTGGGGGCAATAGGCTAACTCTGTAAACCGCTTAGAGAGGGCTGTAAAGAGTCTGTGTTATTGTTATTGCTCTTCCTTCCTTTCCTTCCCTCCCTCCTTCATTCCTTGAAAACTCATTTATCTTCTGGATGTTAGAGTTAGGGCGGATGAACTCACCACATCGTAGGATTCAATCCTTGCAAGTGATAAGAATCAAAATCATCCCGTAATATGATGCTGTTGCTGTGCATCTCAGCTGAAATGAAAGAGAAAACAACCTATAACATATCTAGACAAACTAAATTTGTCCAGTGTGCCTAATATCTCCTATGAGCCATGATGGCGCAGTGGTTAGAGTACAGTACTGCAGGCTACTTCTGCTGACTGCAATTTGGCAGTTTGAATCTCACCAGGCTCAAGCAGTTGACTCAGCCTTCCATCCTTCCCAGGTCTGTAAAATGAGGAGCCAGATTGTTGGGGGCAAGAGGCGGACTCTCTAAACTGCTTAGAGAAGGCTTTAAAGCACTATAAAGCGGTATATAAGTCTAAGTGTTATTTTTTAGGAAAAACAAACTGGAAAACTAATTTGATTAAATAAATAAATATGCAGGGAATCTCAAACTACCTACGCTTTGCTTACATGAAAGAATGTCTCTGTGGAATCAAATCAGGATAACCACAGCAGAATAGACGGTTTCGGTATCCCAAGAACATTATCAGCTTTTGAAGTTTTTACAGGCTTGTTTAGTTCGAACACGGGACCATTCCCAGAGAAAAATCTATCTAGGGTTTGAAAATGGTTTGATAGAACACAATCCATCATCACCGTCCCACAGTCACTCTTTGCAGAACTTCCGACCTCGCATCAGATGAGAGTTGGCTTGTCTTATGATCTTGGAAATTGTTTCTGCAACCGGGCAATAAATATTTCAATCTCAATCTAACACACAACTATATATAGCTGTTTGCTTTTCGAAAACCCAAGTTTGGTCTTACAATATTTTCGTCGTAGCCAACAACATAAATACATTTTGAGTTGTAAACCTGATTGTAGTTTTGCCCACTGAGGGGCTGTTGCTAAGTTTTCTTCCTCGCCTACACGGACAGGAAAGCCCTGCCAAAATTAAAATCCCACTGTCTGCACAGGGCCAAAGTCATAAACAAATGAGCACAAACATATTTGTGAGAGTCAGAGAGCCATCTGCTAGCTTCATCTGTTCTCTCTTTTGCTAAGCATTTAGGGGACACACAACAGGCTGGAAAAGGCTCAGTTATGATTTCCAGTGCAATCTGGGATTAATCTAGAAATACAGTTATTACAACCCTGTTGCTTTCTCAAGCTCCTTTTATGCACCTGAAGCGAAGAGATTTGAGGGGTTATAAACGTGGGATTTTATCTGGGCCTACTGGAATACACATCCATGCAATTAGTTAATATAATTTTCTTCCCATTCTTTTTGACCTACAAGAGCTCACAGACACAATTGATAATACCTCACCTAATAAAATATCCAGGAATTACAGGTAGTTCTCAGCTTATGACCACATTTCTGTTGTTAAGCGAGACATTTGTTAAGTGAGCTTTGTCCCATTTTATGACCTTTCTTTACGGTTGTTAAGTGAAACTGGGTGTCCCCATGGACTTCGCTTGTCAGAAGGTCACAAAAGGGGTCTCTGCAATAGTCATAACTATGAACCAGTTGTCAAGCATCTGAGTTTTGATCACATAATCATGGAGGTATAAATATAAAGGTTGTAACTCTGAGAAACGGTCATAAGTTCCTTTTTTCAGTGCCATTGTAACTTTGGTCACTTAATGAACTGTTGTAAGTAGAGGATTACCTGTACTGAACTCTTTTACGTGCAATGACTGTTATCAGATCAGTACGAAGCAGTTTCTCTGAATGTGGACAAATTCTTTTATGAATGTTACGAAAATTGTATGCAAAATTAGGCAGACTCTAAATTTCTGCTGATAATTCTACCACCAGTCACAATGTATTATTGTGTCTGTCTTTGATTATTTTTTTACTATTACCATTTTTAAAATGCTTTTGTTTGTAACGCTGCTCTGCGACCGTAATAAAAATCGATCGATTTGACCTAGGTGGATATTTTCAAACGGGATATTATTTTAAAAATGCAATCATTCAAGCATTCTACTTTGGGCAAACAGAACTGCGGTTTTTAAAAACCAAAACGGTAACTTGTTGACCTACCTAAAAGAGGATGGAAGGGAGCTTCTGTTGGACCTGTAAAAAGAACGAAAAGAAAATAAACAGATTTTCCCCCCTGATTGACTGTAGCAAACTTTGAACATTAAAGTGTTGGAAAAGAGAGGCAAAGCTTTCAAAAATAGAAAGTATAAAGTATTTTAGTATCCTATGACTATCACTAAGTGCTGTCTTATGATTCTTGATGAATATTTTTTTATGTACAATGAGAGCTTATGCACCAAAGACAAATTCCTTGTCACACTTCGCCAATAAAGAATTCTATTCTATTCGTAATATCTTCATTTAAGCGTCATTGTCAATTAATGACCCCATAATCCCCTGCAGGGTGGAGTCTGAGCAACTGAATGGACCTAAAAGAGTGCTTTAATGGCCGGATGCCTTTCCTGTTGCCAGTGCGGAGTTTTGTTCAGCAGATACATTCTCAGTATTCCCAGAGAGAGAAATATCTGCCTCTACCTAGGATCGAACTCACAGCTTCCTGATTGTGAGGCAAGAGCTCTACCACTAGGCCACCGCACCACTCACCACCATCCTACAGTAACTACAATTAAATCAATGTGTGTTGCTCTGAAGTCAGGTTAGAGCATAGAAGTAAGTAGCTTAATGTCTGTGAGAGGGATCTTGGAAGTAACTGTGAGAGGGATCTTGGAGTCTTAGAGGACAACCAGCTAAATAGGAGCCAGTAGTGTGCAGCAGCAGCCCAAAAAGCTAACGCAATCCTAAGTTGTTTTAACAGAGGGATACAATCAAGATCAAGGGAGGTACTAATACCACTCTATAAAGCCTTAGTAAGACCACATTAGAGTACTGCATCCAATTTGGTCACCACATTATAAAAAAGATCTTGAGACTCGAGAAAAAGTGCAGTGAAGAGCAACCAGGATGATTAGGGAGCTGAAGACTAAAACATTCGATGAATGGTTGCAGGAACTGGGCAAGGCTAGTCTACTGAAGAGAAGGACCAGAGGAGATATGATAGCAGCCTTCCAATATTTGAGGGGCTACACAGAGTGGAAGAAGGGGACAAGCTATTCTCCAAGGCACCTGAAGGCCAGAGAAGAAATAATGGATGGAAACTGATCCAAGAAGAGATTCAACCTGGAAATAAGGAGAAACTTTCTGACAGTGAAAGCAATCAACCAATGGAACAGAAGTTGCCTTCAGAAGTTGTGGAAGTTTCATTACTTGAGACTTTCAAGAAGGGACTGGACTGCCATTTGTCAGAAACGGTGTAGGGTCTCCCGCTTGGGTGGGGGGTTGGACTAGATGACCTACAAGGTACCTTCCAACTCTGATTATCTGTTATCTGTTAACTCTCTTGGCAATATTTTTGTAGTTGGGATTTTTATATATAGGGTAAGTACAGTGGAAGAAATATCTCCTCTAGAAGTCATGGCTGCACTTTGGTTGAAATAAATTATTTGTAAGATTGAGCACCACGTATCAAAAGTTAAGTTTTTAACTTTTTGATTATAAAACTGAAGGCTAAAGTTGCTTCATTTCTCTCTCTTTTTTTAATGTGTCTGAAAAACCATACACTTTCTTTGCCTCCAGTATCTTATACTAATTTCAAATTCTAATTCTTCATTTCAGAAATTATAAAAGGAACTACGAAGATACCATTAAACGGTGATGAACATACTTTCATATCCCTCATAATAATTTCTTTATTGCAAGCTATATTTTATTACGGTAAGCTGCAGTTTTGACCTTCATATATTTTAAATAAAGTCTCAAAATGTCACACAGCAAGAATATTATATAAAATTGATGTTTTCTGGTATTAAAAAACAGTGGGCAGTTTTTAAAATACATTTTTAATCCATTTTTCACAGTACTGCAGCTTCAACTAAGAATTTTATCAGTTCAAAAAACCCCAAGATTTATTTTAAATCCAATTCTGATGTGGGAAAAATGAATGGAAGTTTAATTTTTAGTTTGACATGGTCATAAAGAACTTTAACCTTCATTTGCTTACATTTTGAGGAAAAAAATGAATTATACCCCATAATAAGATCTTGGAAAAAGAGAAGGTAAGAGAGTCTGAATTCTCAAATTAGAACAATTAGACTTCCTTTCTCTGGGAGCTTTATGACCAACCCTTCCCATTTGATGTGCTGGCCTCAGCCATCTCAATAATCTTCTTAAATTTTAACTATACCTGTCTCTTGCAATGGACAATTTGTTCTATATTAGAAGTTAGAAGTTAGAATTTTTTATTGGCCAAGTGTAATTGGACACACAAGGAATCTGTCTCCAGTTCATAAGCTCTCAGTGTACATACAAGCAACAAGTGATAAATCATAATCATAGTCATTGTGGGAGCATCATCACTTGAGACTTTCAAGAAGAGACTGGACTGCCATTTTTCAGAAATGGTGTAGGGTCTCCTGCTTGGGTGTGGGGTTGGACTAGATGACCTACAAGGTCCCTTCCAACTCTGATTATCTGTTATCTGTTAACATTGTAAAAATATATTAATCGTAAATCATAAGATAAAACCCTTAAGGGTACTAAATAAGCAATCGCATAAATCATACTGGGATACTGAATAAAACAATATAAAACTTGGATACAGGCAAAAAAAATATAGTCACAAGAAGATAAGGAGATAGGAAAGACGAGAAGAATAATAGTAATACAGCCTTACTAGCTAGGTTGACAATGTTGTGAGAATTAGTTTTTTAACAGAATGCTGGCATGGGGGGGGGGAACTGTCCTTATGTCTAGTTGTTCTGGTATGCAGTGCCCTATAGCCATTGGTGGGATTCAAATAATTGAACAACCGGTTCTCTGCCCTAATGATTTCTTCCAAAAACCAGTTCACCAAATTGCTCAGGAAGATAACAACCAGTTCTCATGAACTGGTGTGAACCGGCTGAATCCCATCACTGTCTAGAGCGTCGTTTTGAGGGTAGGAGTTGAAACAGTTTGTGTCCAGGATGTGAGGGGTCTGTAAATATTTTCACAGCCCTCTTTTTGACTCATGCAGTATATAGGTCCTTGATGGAAGGCAGATTAGTAGCAATTGTTTTTTCTGCAGTTCTAACTATCTAATATAACTAACAGTATTGTATTGTATTGTTTGTATTGTATTGTATTGTATTGTATTACAGTAGATTAAGTTATGTTTGTTGTGTTGTGTTCTGTTCTGTTACATTACATTACATTATGTTAACTATATAATATGGAGGAGTGTACCATATTGGTGTCATTTGTGTGGGCTTAATTTCCTTTCTTACTGTCAAATCTGAGTCTCCAGCTTTTGAGATTGACAGGCTATGGACAACTTGGAAGATTTCCAATGGTTAAAAGTTTATTTCATGGGAATGTTCACATTAATACTGAAAAATATGTCATTATTATGACTTCCGTAACAAGGGATCCACAATGGAGATTGTGACAGTTGCCTGCAGGGATGCTGTCGTTCTCACTTATGAAAAGAACAATTTTCCAAGCACATGGAATAGTTCCCATAAAGCTTCTTCTTTCATAAATAAGAATGGGAAAAATTCCTTATGTTTGTCTGGGTCACTGTAAAGCTACCACATGCATCTCTTTACAAGCTGGGGGTCAATAGTCACCATTCTTCGTAGCCCTTTCCTTTTGTTTCTTGTTCTTTTTTTTTTCTACTTTAATAAAGGCTAAATTCCCCCAAGGAACTCATGCTTGGTTTGCTCTGTGCTTAAATCAAAATCTAAACAGAACAAATCAATGCTTATTAAAAATGAACAGATGCAATTATTCTTGGCTATGCTTCTTTTCATTTCTCTGTGCATAAGCCTTTGTGATATTTGACTAAATAATTCTAAACTATTCCCCACTAACATAAATAAAGGAATTTATAATACAATTTTGGATGAGACAGAAGTAGCTTTTTCCAACTCTGATGTGAACTAATCTTGGTTTCCTTTTAATCAGAATTTTGGAATTCGTTTAAAATGCTGACACAATTTGTTTGTGATGATACACAATGCATAGATGAGACTTTTTGTTCTGGATATTTCTATATTCATCCCTGTAAAAAAACGACTGGGAGACTGCTGCTTCTTGACCAACTTAAAAAATTAAATTAATACAAGTTAAAATTACAGAAAAATAAATAAATAAACAAGCAAACACTTACTTCCTTGTTCACACAACTGCTGGGCTAAGGCATCCTTGAATATAATTTGACCTCTGTGAGTAGCAGTTGCCCTAGAAATAGAAAGAAATGTGTATTTTAAAAAGTGCATAACTGAACCGCAGAACAAAAATATCTTGGGAGTTGTATGGAATTCAACTCCCAGAATTCTTAGCAATGGCCATTTTGACTGGGAATTCTGAGAATTGAAGTCAACACATCTCAAAATTGCCCAAAATTGGGAAATGTTAGATATAAATACTAAAGCAGTTCATTAAGACAAGCGGAGTTGTTGTGGTTAGCTGGCAGCAGGTGCAGATGGCTGAGGAGAGCAAAGACTCAGATGAGGGGCCAGGACCATTAGGGAGTGGACTGCTGCCTTCAGAGATTGTGGGGGCTGGGAGCAGGAATGAGGAGGTTCCTGAGGAGCCTGTGCCAAGTACGTGTGTGTGCAGGGCTACTTGCAGGAAAGAGCAGCTTCAACAGCACGGGCAACTCGGGAGTAAGGCTGCAAGGTAATGGCCCAACCTTCAAGAAGATGAAAGCCAGCTGTGAATCAGTTCTTTGTAGGAAGCAAACGTTTTGAAACTCCAGCCTCATGGACATTGCAGTATCTTAAGTTAGTATTTGAAGACTCTTGTGTTGTGAAATATTTCTTATCTGTGATTCTTGGCAGCCTTGCACACTACTGTTTATCAAAGTTAATTAGTTTGCAGCCTTTTAACCAGGAATTCTTAAGACTCATTAAAAGGTTTCTGATCCCTTTGGTTCGTGTTTGTTTTATTGGAAAAGGGTTTGGGCCAGAACAGGAGTGTAGTTCTTAAGAAAATTTGTCCTATATCTTCAAAAAAGCAACAACGTTTGAAGGATATCTCTGAGCATGCTTTCTGCTTTCTTAAAACCGAAGAAGAGGTTGGGATGTAGCCATTATCAAAAAGATGGTTGGTTAACTTTCTTGTTTATTCCCTTCTTTGTAAGCAGCCAAGAGTCCAAATTTTATGTAGAGGTAGTACATCCCCTTTTGCGACCTTGAGACAAGCAGAATTCAATGGGAAAGCCGTTACTAATTTAACAACTGCAGGGATCCACTTAACAAATATGGTGCGAAAAATCGTAAACTGGGGCCAAACTCACTTAACAAATTTCTCAGTTAACAACATAAATTTTGGGCTCAATTGTGGTCGTAAATTGAGGATGTCCTCAGCTTACGACCACAGTTAAGCCCAAAATAAAATTACAGCTAATTTTATTAGTTTTAATTAACTATTTGCAGCAAAGCTTAGTAGGTCTTTGATAAATTTACTCAACTATAAGGAACAACAAACTGAGAAATTGCAGCAGTAAATAAAAAAAGGAATGTCTATTTATAAAATCAGATTAAAGGAAACCTTTCCAGAGAATGAAAGATATGAATGAGCCGAGAAAATGAATTTTTCACTTCTTTGAAATGCAGTAGATACAAAGTGCACCTCCAGGTACTACAGCATTGCTATAATTGGAAGTTTAATCATTTGAGGATAAATTCAGCTCAATTTTCCTTTGTGAAGAAGAAAATAGTTTTATTACTGACAATACAAAGATATAATTATTCTGGATGATTTAGCTGTAAAATATCCTGGGAGCAATCATGCGGAGAACACAAAGGATGGATCGCATTTCATATGCTATAATTCAGTTAAGTTGCCTGCTGGTTACAAGATGGTCAGATATCTGTCTGTCTGTCTGTCTTTCTGTCTGTCTGTATGTATGTATGTATGTATGTAGGCATGTATCTATCTGTCTGTCTGTCCGTCCGTCCATCCATCCATCCATCCATCCATAACTAAAATCAGAGGTTATCCAATGAAACTGAATCCTGGAAGAACAGGACACAAAATTTTTAAAAAAAACGTCACCAACTTGACATTAAACTCTACAAGAGGTGATGCTGTTACCAGCTTGGCTCACTTGAGAAAAAAAATGCAACAATTCTTATTTATTTATTTTGATTCTTTTTGTTAGTTTTTGTTGTTTTTAATGTGGTTTTAGATTCTGTAAATCACCTTGAGTCACTACAGGCAAATAGGCAGCAATATTGACTCTTGATGAATGTATCTTTTCTTTTATGTATACTGAGAATATTTGCACCAAGACAAATTCCTTGTGTGTCTACCCACACTTGGCCAATAAAGAATTATGTTCTATTCTATTCTATTCTATTCTATTCTATTCTATTCTATTCTATTCTATTCTATTCTATTCTATTCTATTCTATTCTCATTCAATTCCTATCCTATCCTATCCTATCCTACCCTACCCTACTCTACTCTATTTAAATTCCCTAAATAAATAAATAAATTCATGGAAGTAATGGAGGAATCAGTGGCTATAAGCCTTGATGCCAATGGGGTTGCCTTTGTGTGATGGCCCAGGGCATGGCACAGAGGTAACACAGTCATTTGATCAAATTGCCCCTTTATTGCTCCACACACACACACACACACACACACACACACCCCTCCAGCAGCCTCTGGCTGCAAGTACTCCAGCACAATGGGCATTTATATTTTAAAAATCAAGCAATCTGGACATGGGTGTTGTTAAAAGGCCTACATGAAAGAAATATTTTGAGGAAATTGGTATCAAAAAGCACAAGCTTTATACAAAAGCATTACCAGCACTGTAAACAAAAGCCAAAGATCTGTTCAAAAATTAGTTTTTAAATTATCAGGCCAGACCCGTACCTTCATAACACAGACAATAAAATAACCTAGCTGTAGATGTATCCACATCATTTCACTTCAAAGCTATTCAGAATGACAAAACATTACATTTGTTCTAAAAATGCTGAGTTCAGTCCCATTGAGGTTAATTACCACACAGATCAAAATCTCACCCCTGCTTGCCTTCGTAATGAGCAATCGAACAGTGCAATAAATAAATTCACCTTGGAATACATTTCACTGGAAATGATTATACATATCTCTGAAAAGACATTTATTGGGTGACTTCCCTGAGATGCAAGGAAGCATTTTTCGTGCAAGTGAAATGGACCTTGGCAGAATTCAATCCAGCAACATGTTCCAAATCAAAGTATGCTTTAAAAAAGTTTACAATGCTTTCAACAGAACATTTTGCTTCTCCAAAGCTACAGAAGCTAGACTATACATTTCATAAAGGTAAAAGGTAAAGGTTTCCCCATTCAGTTTCCCTGTTCGCTACACTCTCTGTGCTCTACTCCATGGGGTGGCACTCATCTTCCTTTCTTAGCGGAGGGAGCCAGTGTTGTCCGAAGACAATTTCCGTGATCATGTAGCCAGCATGACTGTACACCGAGGTGCATGTTTCTACCTTCCCACCGAAGTGGTACCTGACCAACTCATGTTTGCATGCTTTCAAACTGCTAGTGAGCAGCAACAGGGACAAGAATAGGAGCTCACCCCACCATGCAATACTCAAACTTCTAACCAGGGCTGTTAGTTCAGTGTCTTTAACCATTGGACCATTGTGGTGTTTTATACACAGACAAAGACACACACATTAGATAGTCCATGACCCATTGGACCAGGAATTCAGAGATTTTCTTTATCTAAATAGAGAAAGACCAGGGGTGGACATAAAAGCAGTGGGAGCAAGAGCAACTTTTGACTTTCTGCTGAGTTTCCCATCAGGCTTTCTCATGAGAAGCTAACTTCCTCCCTCCCTCCCACCCTTGAGTTTCTGCCAGCTTCCCCATTTACTTTACTTATGCGAAGTTTGCAGGAGAAAGTCACTGGGGAAGCCAGCAGGAAGTCAAAAGTCCAAGGCCAGCAAGCAAGTAAATGGCTGCTGCCAAATGAGGGAGGGAGGAGGGAGAGATATGCAGGGGTATGGGTCGGGTGCCATGCAAGTCAGGAAGGATGCATGGGTGTTCGTAAAAGATGCCATGCAGGTCATGTAGGGCATGGGAGGTGGCACTATACAGTGGATGGGAACTATGGGAGTATGTGACAGGTGCCATGCAGAGTAGGGCATGTAGAGAGGGGTAGTACGGTCAAGAAGGTTGCATGAGAGGTGCAAAGTGGGTTGGGGAAGATATGTGGGGGAGTATGGGTAAGGAAGGATGTCTGGGGGTGCTTTGGAGGGCACAGGAAGTGACATTTAGGTCAGGGATGACACATGGAGAAGTTGGCACAGGTTAGGTAGGGCTCATGGGAGTGCTGGCTGGCTGGAGAATCCTGGGAATTGAAGTCCAAACATCTTAAAGTTGCTAAGGTTTTTTTTTTTTAAATGTTGCCTAATTTGTTTGGTCATTTTGATGCTCTACTTAAAATCAAACAGAATAACAACATTTAAAAAGAAAGAGGGACTTATTCAAATTTGCCTGTTCTAATAATAACCAAATATCCAGGTAGAGTCCCTTCTTCAGATATTCGTCTACAAGATGATGTGTGAGCTATTTAACAAATCGGAACCCACTAAATTCTATCCTAAAATTAGCAAATTTGGCCAGATGTAGCGAAGGTTTAGTGACAAGGATTCCTACCATTTGTTCTTTCAAAGTGCCAGAATTTTTCCCTCCTCTAATTTTCTAAAAATGAACAGTGTGCCTTGTAAAAAACAAGATACCAATATTTATTGGCTAAGTAAAAACGACGTGCAAGTTATTGTTACTTACACAGAGATAGCAAGATATTGGTAGTCCTCATCGTGCTACACCAATTGAGCCCAAAATTTATGTTGCTAAGTGAGAAATTTGTTAAGTGAGTTTTGCCCCACTTTATAACCTTTCTTGGAATCGTTAAGTGAATCACTGTAGTTGCTAAGTTAGTAACACACTTGTGAAGTGAAAGCTGGCTTCCCCGTTGAGTTGGCTCATCAGAAAATCACAAAAACAGATCACATGACCCCTGGCTACTGCGACTGTCATAAATAAGAACAGGGATGGGATTCTACCGGTTTGGACCAGTTCGTGTGAACCGGATATTAGTTATATTTGGTTCGCCGAACCGGTATTTCAACTGACCAGCTGGCCCTGCCCACCCCATCCCACCCCTCCCAGGACTCTCCACACGGCCCATTTTCATACAGGGTCCGCGTGGAGGCTCTGGGAGGA